TGGCTCGTCTTATAATTTAAAGACGTCACACCTCACACCGATCATTAAACGGTTTCTAAGATTAGAGAAGCCGAACAATAAAAAAAATGTATACTTAATTGCCGTGGCAAGAAAACGCAAGAAACAAAACAAAGTTGATTTAAATAAGCATTTTAAAGCCAATTCATTGGCATTTCCGGAGTTGAAGATCGATTAACAGTTTTAAAATGATATTTGCATTTACTTTTGAGAATTCTTATTGATTTTACATAAATAATATAAATTTATGCATATATCTCTGTGGCCTTCCAGAACATGAGTCAATTGTCGGAGAGCCATGAGGACACAACGCCCGGCATTTTCCATGGCGATTTCCATATGGAGTTTTGTGAGAATCGCCGCCAACTGTTTCAGGCGTATTTCCGTGACTTTACCATCGAGCGTTTGGACAAGCCGTGGGAGGCTTTCACGGGCGGCTGGTTTGCGGATAATGCGGCCAAGAAGCTGGGCATCAACACCTCCTTCATACAGGGCGACTACTCCTATGTGCTGGTGCGGGTGGTGCGCTTCCGTGAGACGGGCAAACTGAATGCCGAGATCCCGATCGATCAGCCGCTGGAGGCGGAAGTGCGTGCACGTGTCCAGCAGCTGGAGGTGGGCAATATAACGTCGGCCATGCGTTTTATGGAATCTTTTGGCACGCACTATGTGAACTCCTATACGACGGGTAATTCGCTTTACCAGGTGTTCGTGTACAGTCGCAAGAACTACAAAATGATCAAGGAGCGCATCAAGAGCAAGGGCCTCAACGGCCTCTCCAAGCTCGATCTGTACAACTATTTTGCGCCGTGGTTTGCCGAGCATCTGGGCCAAATACGCTCGGCCAGCGCCAATGCCACCGTGGAGCGCTGGGCCCGTCGCAAACTGCAATACGAGTACTATGTGGTCAAGTACGTGACCCTGCTCAAGTTGCATGGGAACAGCACGCTGCTCAGGTCGCTGGACAGTCTGCTGGGCAACGATGCCATCTTGCAGCTGGACCTAAAGGCACTTAATGTTGTGTTCAGGGATCATCCGCAAAAGGAGAGCTGGTTCCACGAAGTGCTCGACAACAACATGAAACTGTGGGAGCTCAACATGCCACTCAATCATCCGAGTCGATAGGCCGGATTGGGCATTGGACCGGACCAACAATAGGTTACTTTCAAGTTCCTAAATGCAAGTTGTGCAAACTGGCGCGCTTCCAGCTGCTATCCATAGGTAGCATATATATCTATATATATATATATATATATACATATATATATCTACTCGTGGTAGTTGAGTAGTTGTAGTTTAGTTCTCTAGTGCGTAATTACTGTTCTGCCTGTGATAGCTTTTAGATAGTTTAATTAAACCTATGTAACTATGTATTTTGCATGTGAACTTTAGCATAGTTCCGAATAATAATTACTTGCATTTATGCAGTAAACATTTGTAATATGAAAGACAGCCTATTCTTTTCATTAACTGGGTATAAAACCAAGTTATCAACAAAAACTTAGCTTAATAATTAATCACAATAATACGACAATTTCTGAGCAAAAAACACGACGGCACGTTTCAAATGATGCGACTCTTCTCCAGATACATATATATAAAAAAGAATGTAACGACGTTGGAAAACGCACAAAATTAAGCAACATATTCTATTAAAGATTTTCATGAAATTATATATACTGCTCTCAATAATCGGCCTTTGCTTAGTTCATCTGCAGAGGGTATCTACATTCTATACAAAACTTATTTAAACAAAAAATATGTTTAATTAAAATGAATCGTCAAAATATAATTCCGACCAGTGCATCTCAAAAACTGCTTGAGCAAGCAGTTTGAGTGCGACTGTTAAATAATTTAATTGCTTAAAACTCCGTTTCACAGTTTGAATATTTTGTGCAATTCGGTTCACATCTGTAGTTTGATGGTCACTGTTTCGCTGCACCAGAAAGTGTTCCCAATTGTATCAACGAGAAGCATGGGAACAGTTACAAGAATAGTTTGTTTTCAAACCAAACACAGTGGTCATCAAGCTGTGCAGCTGGTGTGTGTCTTTGCTAGCTGAGTCTCCGCTTAAATTTCTTGGCTAAAAACTGGGGCATAGCGACATACCTCCGCAAATGTCGTTTCAAAACGACATAATCTCGCCATCAACGCGATCAACGGCGGATATATGTCGTTTCAAAACGACATAATCTCCCCATCAACGCGATCAACGGCGGAGGTATGTCGTTTCAAAACGACATAATCTCCCCATCAACGCGATCAACGGCGGATATATGTCGTTTCAAAACGACATAATTAGTAAGGATCAACGGAATGTCGTTTTCAAACGACGTATCTCCGCGGCGGAGCTATGTTCTTCTCGCCATCGCGCCATTATATCTCCGCCATATCTCCGCCGTTAAGTAATTTAACTAATTATGTGGTCAAGCTGTGCAGCTGGTGTGTGTCTTTGCTAGCTGAGTCTCGGCTTAACTTTTTTGGCTAAAAACTGGGGCATAGCGACATAGCTCTGCAAACATATATATAAATCTCCGCGGAGGTATGTCGTTTCAAAACGACATAATCTCGCCATTAACGCGATCAACGGCGGATATATGTCGTTTCAAAACGACATAATCTCCCCATCAACGCGATCAACGGCGGATATATGTCGTTTCAAAACGACATAATCTCCCCATCAACGCGATCAACGGCGGATATATGTCGTTTCAAAACGACATAATTAGTCAGGATCAACGTAATGTCGTTTTCAAACGACGTATCTCCGCGGCGGAGCTATGTTCTTCTCACCGTCGCGCCATGATATCTCCGTCATATCTCCGGCGTTAACTAATAGAAGCTCTTATGTTCTTCTCGCCATCGCGCCATGATATCTCCGTCATATATCCGCTGTTAACTAATAGAAGTAATTGTGTCGTTTTGAAACGACATACATCCGCGCGGAGATATATCGTTTATGGAGCCGCGGAGATATCTCATTACCCCAAGTTTATTGATTTTAGTTAGTTTAATGCAGAACCGAAATATCAGTTAATTTAATTAGATTCTCTTTAAAAAAATATATAAAAAATTTTCCACAATATGCATACATATTTAATATGTATTGAAACATAATTAATAATATAAATATTTGATTTTTGTTGGCTTCTTTATAGTCCGAAAATTAACACAATAAACGCTTGTTCTAGTCCGAGTGTAGTTCTAATTGGGGTAACTGCGAATAGATGCATTATGAGCTTGAAATTCTAGACTCCATTTTGGCAAAGCCGGCCGGATATAAGTTAGCCAATACAGTTATCAGTTATCAAGGGCTGCAGAGCAGCAGTTGGCAACGGGCTGACAGACAAACTTCGGACAGGCAAGCAAAGGCAATCAGTCAGCTGGCTACGCATGTGAATATGATGATGTTTGGGATGGGGAATGGGCAGGGGAGTGGGAATGGAGATGGGATTGAGGATGGGGATGGGGATGCCATTGCTGCGACGTCGACTACGCTGTTGATAAACTCATCCATCTCCAATCCACTTACGAGCGCAAATATTTACACAATTTACTCGAAAACGGAGGTATGAGCATATAATATTTCCAAAAACGATGGCAAACACACAGACACACACACTCGCACAGTCGCACACTCGCACACACACGCACAGAGATACGCACACATAAAGAGAAACTACGGCCGAATGTTTGGCAGTTAGGCATAGCACAACAGCAACAAACCTCATCATTAGACAGACACATTTCGGGCATTGCAAATCAATGATGATGATTCGGCGGATGGAGAGGCGCATAGTTCGGCGCATGCATGAAATCACAGGCCTTCCTGCTCCTGCATAGCAAATGGTCTAAATAAGTGTGCCTGTGTGTGTGTGTGTGTGTATGTGTGTGTGTGTGTGTGCATGTAAAGTTCTAAAACTGAGCGAGCGGCAAGCAAATCAACTATGTACATAATACATACAAAGTATGTGGGAATCGTTATTGGGCATGGGCTGTGGAATATGATGCACCCCCCTCACAGCAGCCAGGCATGCATACTTACCATATATAAGCACAGATCGGAGGCAGCTTAAATATAATGGCTGCCAGCCAGCATTTGTGTCTGCGTTTCAATCAAACTGGTCAGCCAAATGATACTCAACCAAATTGAAAATTGGCCATTGGCTTGGGGTGTGGGTCTCGGTTTTAGTAGTATTGGAATTGGCGTCCGGCGTGTGCTGGGCTTGATTGGTGGTCAATGCCCAACATCAATAATAATTTCATAAATGTAATGTGAGGGAGGGGAAGGGGGAGGGGGAGGGTGAGGGGCGGTGACTCGAACGGAGTCACTTTGATTGAGCTCTTAATTGCACTGCATTGTTAAGCCTCAAGTTCTGGCTTAACTTCTCATACTCATTTCAGATTTTTCATTAATTTATGTGAAATATCTCTTGTTTCAAAAGCGACGAATGTTCCAATCTAACATCTTATTTCAGATTAATAATAGGAAATGCTTTGATTTGACTTTTGATTTGTTGATTTCTCTTTCAAATTTGAAATCTAGTTTAGCGACTGCATTACAGCTAATATAAAAGTTTGTCACGTATTTCCATTATATGAGATATCAGTTTTTTGCCTGTTGACTTAAGAGTCCATGATTTAGTGGCTTACCAATAGATTTAGCGTATCTGGCGCGTATTAAATGTATCTTTATGATATTCTCTAAGTTTTTGAGTTTTCTAGAATGTGTAAGGGACTCAATTGTTGGTATATACTCCTTCTTTTAGCTACGGTCTTGGGTTATGTTGACATTCACACACATTCGGAGAGAGGTTAAGATAAAGAGCACGATTGCCACAGTTTGGGGCTAAGGGATCGTCTCTCAGTTTCAAAGCTTTCGTCTTGCAAATTTGCATAGGTCCGTCTTTCTGTTGCAGGCAGTGGACTACTATATTATATGGCTGCCATGGGAACGATCATTGAAAAGTAGGCTCTTGCGTTTTATTATTTTTTATTTATTTTCTTCCCTATGCTTCTTATAAATACAGAATATAGAAAGTGATGGATCTACTGGAAGGCTGTTTTTTCCAAACATATAACTACGTTCCGAACATTTCGCGGATGTGACTTTATTACTAGATGTTATAATAATGCTTGTTTGGCTTACTCTCATAGTTTTAGAGTTTATTTAAGAAGCAGAAGTTAATCCTTGGTTCCTACGCAGGTAAAGGATCTCATATATCTGTTCACTTCCGACATCAACAATATGATAATATGCTGGTCTGTAAGCCATGCTTGGAAAACTATTACAAGGTAAATGTTTTGTCAAAGAGTCAAGCCAAAACCAAAACACAGAACAGCACAGATTAAGGCTGGAGAAATTGAAAATTGGGAAAATCCTGCACACAAGCCGAAAAACACGTTGAAAAGTCAAAAGTCCGGCTTACGCTTAAGCGCAATTAGCGTTAATTGCGCCGGGCCACAGGAACAACAAGATGAAGGACAACAACGCCAACAATAAGCATTATGGCAAAAGCAAAAGCAAAAGCAAAAGCAGAAACAACAACAGATTCCCACAGTCAACAACTGAGTTGCATGAGGCCACATCCACATCCTGGCAGAAGCCAGGACCTGCCGCTGTTGCCGCTGCACACACGCAACATTGCGGCCACTTGAAGTTTAATTTAATTTTTTCTTGCGGCTGCCGTCGCAGCGTCGCTTGATTCAAGTGCCAGCACCCAGGGATTGGCTGTTCATTGGCGGGTCATTCGGTGGGTGGTCGGGTGGTTGTGTGGTTATAGTTAACAACGACATCAACATTATCATCATCATCATCATCATCATCGACATCGACATCGACAACGGCAACAGCAACGGCAGCCACATCGAAGACGACATCGGAGCGCCATCGCAATCGCAATCGACGTTCGTCAAGCTCGTGTCGCAACTTGCGATGATTGATGGTGCGTAATTTGGAAAATTAGAAGCACATGAAAGGACAGGCAGGCAGGATATTCAGGAGCAACTCGAGCTACAGAAAAGGGGTGGCTCAGGTTTTTTGGGCCATCGAATGCGAGGCGCAACGCCCTTGCTAATGTTGTTGGCACAACAAGGTGTGTCCTGGCTGGTCGGCTCGTATGCCGCGTGTCCTGGCGCGTGCAGCCCAACAAAGTTGCGCGTGGTTATTAGAAAACAATTTAATTAAATATTCACTTGAAACAGCCGAGCCGCAGCAAAAACTCCAGCGTCGCTTTCTCATCATAAAGAGCTCTAACAATGCCCATCAATATTAAACGATGTCCATTTAGACCGATTCAGTTCACGTCCTGCGTCCCCGTTCCCGTTCCCGTCCTCCGACCCATCCTCGTCCTCGTCGCTGGTCCGTGATGTAATGTGAGAAAGTTTTTGTTTTTTGTTTTGTGGGTGGGCTGAAATTAAGAGTTAGACCCTGACAGCAAGGAAACGCCTTTGATCTAGTTTGCAGCCACTTCTTTTAGGCGCGGGATACGACTTTTTGTTTTTAACAATTAGAAAGATTTATTAGTTAGGAGATGGGGAACTCTAAAGATTAGAGATGTAGGTTCAATTAGGTTCCATAAGATCGCTCGGTCAAAAATTGAATTATTCAAGATTGATCGAAAAGCTTTCATTGGATTGTTCGCTAGCAATTAAGTTGTATAAGTTGTATCGGACTTTATTGCTAGAGCAACATTAAGATCATATTGTATACATTCCTTGGAGCCTTGGATGCAGGCAATAATAAATCTGTTCTTGTTAATCTGAAAACAAATTTATAACATGTCATGTTATCAATCTAAATAATTAAAATGTTCACTAAGCCACGCTAAAAATCTATAATAAATTCCTGCAAGTATTAAAAAACGTTACCTTAAAGTAGCCAAAATCTCAAAATAGCTCAATAGCTGCCTCGATGCAGCCACAAAACAGCTTTGAATGCCTCAGTGTGTACATCCGAAAAACACACCACATTCAGAGATACACGGATAGATGGGCACTGGCATTGGGAGGACCCGCACAGCCGGCTGAGAAGTCATTGCAGGACAATGGAAAAGTCGTTGGCTGTCTAATTGCATCATCGGCGCTTCCAGAGTTACGGCCACGCGCCCGGCGCGTCTCTCACCTGCAATTAAAGTGTCACATTAGGAACACGCAGCCGGAGTACACCACATGCAAGGCGATGACAATGCCCAAAAAGCGATTCAAACTACATCCGACAGGGCGGCACATCGGGCCGGGGAATGGGAGGGCAGGAAACAGTTATGGGTCACGTGGCGGGTGCGGCAACTGCACGAGTTTCTGCTGAAAGTTGGGCTTTCGACAGAATAGCAGGAGCAGCAGGAGCAGCCCTTCTGACTGGCAAAAGTTTTGCTTTGGGATTAGCCGCAGCTGAGAGCGTGTCGTGGCTGCGAATGCTGCTGGTTGTTCCTGCGATTGCCATTGTGTTTGTTTACAGTTACATTTGCGCCCGGCAAGCCAACTAATGAAAGCAAATCTGCGCATTAATTTCAAACGAATTTGTTTTGATGCCGTGATAAGCCGGCAACCAACAACCGCCAGCCGACAGCCGGGCAAAAAAACAAAAAAAAAAGAGCCGTTCGCCATTTGGGCGGCTGCTGTTGAGCCATCGAGCCGGCGACCCACCGTGCCAGCGACCCACCGAACCATCGAACCGCTGAGCCGCTGAGCTGGCCCGTTTTGATTTCTGTCAATAGCCCTGCGGGTCGGCACTTGAGAGTCGTCATCATCGCCGTGCACTGAAACTGAATTTTGCAATACGCTCGCGGCGTTCAACCTGCACACCCACACACGCACACCCACACACACACACACAAGCACACACATACGCACCCTCGTATCAAAACTAAAAAGCACGCTTTGCATTACAATTACAATTGCCATGCGGCACGCCCTCCCCCCGCCGACCTGATGCAACCCCATTTAAGCTTTAATGCCGCCGGCTTGCTTCAGTTGTTAATCTGAAAATACACTACGCAACCAGATTTTGTACTGAAATAACATTCATTGTTTATAGCTTATGTACGACAAATATATTAAAAGATTTTAGAGCTGCATGTTTCAATTAAGTCATACGAGAATAGATAAAATAGAGAGCTTAATCTAATTAATAATAATCTCTGTAATGGAAATTTAGTACAGCATACTTTTTGGAGCTCATATTAAACCACGACTAAGATATGTAGATGCACAAAGAATACATTTTTAAGTATTCTACATATTTTGTAGAGCTCATCACATATGCACATTTTACACTTTTTTCTCAGGCTGTAAATCGCTGCAACTTTGTAAAATAGTGTAGCTTGCCGGCGTGTGCCTGTAGGCTAAATGTGTAATTAAAATAGTTGCGGTTCATAATGTCGATGATGATGATGAGCTGCACTTGTCGCTGAAGGACTCGCCCGAATCCGGCGAGCATGTCCTAGCACTTGCAGTGGCCGCGTGCGCTGCACGTGATGCCGCTTGATAATGATCTCACATGCACTTGCCAGACATGAACTGTGAGAACATCTTTAAATGCTCTCGATACCCATCAATATCAGGCTAAATTATTGATTGTCAACAATCCAACATATATATAAATAGCAAGCATAGTGTATGCCAGTCGGGCATTGTTGTTGCGTCTGTTTGCGTCTCAATGTCAAGATTAATCACCAGCTGTGACGAGGTTAGCCGACTGACTGACTGACTGACTGACTGACTGAGAGACTAAAAGCCGGACAGACGGGCAGGTAACATCAGTCAGAGAGTTCAGCTTCTATATAACAATGAAATACTGTATTGTAAAACATATATGTATATATATATTATAAAAAATATTCAAGTTCGGCAGCTTGTCAAGTGCCACTTGTCGTCAGTTGAACGTCACGGCGTTCGGCCACTTTGTCAATTCAAGTGAAATTTTTATTAATTTCGTCTTACACATCCATATATATATATATATATGTATATAAACATATATTGTTTTGTTTTTCGATATAAGTACGTATCTATGGGTTCTCATCGCTGGCAAACCAGTTGAAAATTAGTTTGTTTCCTAATGCTAACAAATTGCATGCAATTCATCAGCAGCTCCCTAAAAATTCGACAGCGTCGTCGGCGGTGCCTTTGTTTGACCTGTATCCTTAATTCTTGGCTGCTGCTTTGTTGCCAATTGACAGTTGTAAATGTTTGTTGTAAATTGTGCTTTAGAGGTGCTAATAGAGTGCCACCGCCGTGCGCGTTTCCCCATGTAGTTTTTGATTGAGTTGGCCAGACAGAAATCAATGAACTCCACTGCCAGATACAAGATACAAGATACAAAGATTTTATGATGCTTTTGGCTGCTTGGCCACCAGGCCAGCATTGGGTCTCTTTGATTTCGTACCGCAGACAGCGCGAGTGAATCACAAGAACTTCACACCGCATTCCATATGCCGCTTGATTCTCAATGCTGGAAGCTGGATGCTGGATGCTGCAGTAGCTGCCCAGTGCAAACTATTTATGAAGTGTTGGATGCAGCCTGGGAAATTTTGTTTGTCTAGCAAATTAATGCGGCTACCAATAAATGCACAGAGCTGGCCTCTGCGAAGGCCTTTCAATTGGGCCTAACTTAACTTTGTTATCACGTTTGCACACAGCATTAAGACATGTCAGATAGCTTCTTTCCCACAAATCTAGCCAATTAGATGCAGGTCTGCTCTAGAACTCTATTCCAATTTACGAATTGAAGAAGAGATCGGAGCGTGGAAGGGAGGTCAGAGTGATAAGAAATTGGCAAAATCAAATCAAAAGCAATAAAACAAAATCATGATATTGGGCTGACACTGCAGTTTTTACTAATTTAACACATTTTTTTTTTAAACATCATATTTACTAAATTATTATTCAAAAATTGGAAACGGAATCAACCTGTTCTCGATTGTAGCTGCAATTGGTCATCTTTTTGCCTGAGCTCAAATCAAAAAAATTATTGTATATATAAGGACAATATCATTCCAAAAAAGGAAACATATTTTTAAAAGTGAATAAATTAAATGATATCCATATCGAATTCAAGTTACTTTTGTCTACACTTACCTCTTAGTATTACATTCATGAATTCTGGTAGCATTTTATTGATTGAATTTTAGTTTCACTTTTTTTTTTATGTTTAGCTGGGATTGGACATTTGTTTGGCCGAAAGTCATTGACTTGGTGGCTTTGACTTTGGTGCAGCCAAGTGTAAAAATTACGCGCAGACAGCAACAAACACAACAAACACACCTCCAAATGAGGCAGCAACTGTCAAAATTCATATTGCACCAAATTATTGTAAGCGTCAACTTGTAATATTCCTTCATTTTTTTTTGTTTATTTTTTATTTTGGCCATTATTAAATTAACGCTTTGCGTCTGTTTGCTGCGTCATCGGCCAGTGTCAGTGCCAGGAAAGGAGCCGCTTGCCGTTATGCGTCGAAGGATGTTACGAGGGCTCAGACAGCGGCTAACAAGGGTGCCGCATGTCCAGTTGAAAAGCCAATGACTTGCCATTTTCAATGGCACTTGGCCCGTCAGCGTCAGCGTCAACCTCACGTCACGTTATGCGGTATGGCCAACCAGGAGAATCGCATATAGCCAGCCAGAGTTTGGACCCTGCAACCAAACCCAAAACCAGATGGATGCGTGCCGCAGGAATGCATGGACATGCGTAGACGTGCGTACAGGCGGAGTCTATAGCTTCCAAAATTTCCTTATCAAAGTTGGGGAGACCACACACGTAGTGCTGCACCTTGCGGCGCTGCTTTTAACAACTCCATGGGCTATAACACATTCTTATCAGCGTCTCAGACTTGGCCATGATGACTTTTACAAAACGATGAAGACAAAGCAGAGGCTGTAGCTGGAGCTGAAACTCCGTAGCTAAAGGTGTAGAGAGCTGGGGCTGCTGCTGCTCGTTGGCTGTGCACGCATCGTCATGTAAGCGCCACTTATGTCACTTGTGCCGTTGATGTAGAGATGGAGATGGAGCTGGAGATGGAGATGGAGATGGAGACTCCATTGGAGCACACGAGCACTTGTACTCATCGCATGCAGCTCCAGTTTCTAAGCAGCAGCAGCTGCTGCTTTGCTGTTGTTGTAGTTGTTGTTGTTGTTGTTGTTGTTGCTACTTCATAATGTGCTGAGCTTGATGGGATTAACACAAACGGCCAACACATCTCAAGCATCTAAAGTTGTGTGCCAGTTTGTAGCTGCGCTTTTTTACACAGTCATCACCATGATCAACGGGCTCCAAGCCATGGGCTCTGTCCCTATGCCTTGTGTGTGTGTGTGTGTGTGTGCGTGTGTGTGTGTGATTGGGTCTACGTCTGTTTCAGTTTCTGTATCTGCGCACTTCAGAGTCTCCAAGTCTGCAGCTCTTCAGCTCTTCCAGCGCTCTCGGCGCGCTGAACGCGCTGTCTGCGCGTTGGCTCAAGAGCTAATTTGCGTGTCAGCCAGTCAAAAGTTTATGAATGATAGCCCCAAACCGGTCCAGGTAGCAACACATCAGATCACATCCACATCCCAGCCACATCCACATTCACAACACATATAAGTATATCCGTAGCAATTATTATTTATTTGAGTTTGTTAATGTCGAAGCGAGCAGCATTTGGTTAAGCGTTTGTGCAGCATTATCAATTAGTTAAAGCTTTATCGCCATTGGTCATTGTTTTCGGAAGTAATTAAGACCCAATCGAGCGGCCAGAGCAAACAGAACTTAAATCATATTTGCTTAGGCGTTTCGACACTCCAAAAAAATCACAACGCATTGCGATAAGTCCAAGTGGGCAACACTCTGATAGCTGCTCTGATAGTGTACGCTTGTAAATCAATAACTACCGAAAATAACC